GTGTATCCGAGGGCCTAAGCAGGCAAAAAGGGAACAAAGTTGTTTGTTGTAGCAACAGCTCTTTCATTTTTTGCAGGGAAAACTCCTCGTGGCCTCCAGACACTTTATAAACGGGAGGAACCACTTTGGAGAAAGGGAAGATGCTGATTCAGTTTCCTCCCCCCAGAGAACAAGAGGGTGAAAATATCCCGTTGTCATATGAGGAAAACACTAAATTAAACATCTTAAATGTCTATTCAATTAGGCTTGAAGTAGCTTAGTATTCGAGGATAACAGGAGTTATTTACAAGGGATTGTCAGTTACATAAATATAAAATAGAAATATTAAATAAAAATAGAAATAGAAATATAGAAATATTAAATATAAATAAATATTCCTGTAATCTGACCATTCCCCATTCATCACTCGGTACTTCAGTACATTTTTGCAGCTGCCCCACACCAGGGTTGTAGCCCTGGACAAACACTCAGCCTCTGGCTGGTTAACCCGTATGTCCAAGCCAGCCTCAGTGTTTCCTCAGTGCTTTTTCCTGCTGCTCCCATCTCCTCAGTGCTCCACACCCTCTCTCACTGATTTGGCGACGACTGTCTGCTCCTGCTGCTGCCTGGGTATTCCGCCTGTGCTTGACCTTATGGGAAGAATCCAGCCCCGACTGAAATGCACACGAAAGCCCCAGACAACGGTAATTTGTTTATACCCCTTCATTACTTAATACAAAACATAAAGCAGCTCATCTGCTGCTAAGAGGTTCCAGCTGCCCCTCCTTCTGAAGCACGAGTTCAGCTTTCCATGGGACTTCTCAGGAAAGAAGGGAGCTCATGCTTGAGATTACTGTCAGAGATTGCCCAAGAAAGGAGAAGGTTTGAAAACCTCCCCTTCTCTCCCCTACATTTATATTTTTTACAGAAGAGCAGGTCTGGGAAGGTGAGGGGGTGGCACACAGCACTTTCCCAATTGTCAGACAGTGCAAAAATGCAGCCAAATTCCTCATCCAGCAGTGACCCATTTACCTTCAGGCAGAGATGGAGATCTCATTAGATACTGTAAAACATCCCAAAACTTTTTTTTTCTTTTTTTCCCTTCTCTCACAGCCTGGGTGTTCATAAGCCTTAACTTGTGAAAGCTCTATTCTCACCTGCTCCTCTGGCTGTGCTGGGTTTGCACCTTGCACTGCTTCTTTCTACCAGAAAAATCAGTAGTTTTGAAGAAATCTGTAACACCAAAGTAGGCTGACAAGCCACTGAGATGTTTGAAGGCGCTTGTTAAAGCCTTAAGACCATAAAGTTGTTTACAACCAGTAAAACAGCAACAAAAAAAAAGTCTTGGGCTGCAAGACCACTGGGCTGGTAATCAGATTTTTGTGAGGCTCTTTTTGTAAATATAATTTACCTTCACTTCTGTAAAACTCAATTTCTTTGTTCTTTTGTTTTCTTGAAAAATGATTTCTGCTCCTAGCAGAGCATTTACTTTTAGATGAACAAACATGCTGTGAGAACTGTGGCAGTGGGAACTAAAATGACAGCAAAGCTCTGCTTGGGGAAAAAAGAAGGGAGTATCCGATCCAGGGAAAACAAGGTAATACACCCACATTTGAGAGATGAATCACAAAAACAAGAAAGAATTAACCCCTGAGGCTTATTTTTAACTACAAAATAAAGTTTTCCATGGGAGAAAAGCAGACAAATCAGATGTTAGGTTGAAGGATGGGCAAGCTGGAAAGGGGAGCCTGGCCATCCCCAGGGTCTGGGTGGAAGCTCCGTCCTGCCTGTGAGCTGCTTTCTGCAGTCCTGGATCCTAAGGCTGTTTTCCAAACTTCTCTTGACAGCACAGGTTTCACCAAGCATGAACCTGAAAGTTAGAAGAAGAGAGTTAATGGCAGTGCTGATCTGACCTGTTCATGTTTTTGTTTGGAAGAAAGTGTTGCTCTTCTGGTGTTAGCATGTTCATAGTTAGTTTTTAATTCCTGTTCCTTTATAACCTTAAAAATAAAGGATCTCTTTCACAGAAGACTGTTGCAGCTAGCTCAGACCAAGGATATCCAACACCCACCCAACTCCAACAGAGTTCCTGAGCTGAGAAATGTTGTTATCCAGCTATATAACAGTTCATCGGACACAAAAAGTGCTGCTCTGTAGTTTGTGATTATATAACAGTTCATCGGACACAAAAAGTGCTGCTCTGTAGTTTGTGATTTAGCAACCAGGAATTTCACATGCTGATGTGCAATTGTGTGTGTGTGTGTGTGTGTGTGTGTGTGTGTGTGTGTAAGGGGAGTAATCTTTCATTGTTTCTTTTCAAAGGAAGCCCGAAAAAAAAAAGAAGGTTACTGTATCTGGAGGCTTTATCCACCTACCCCAACTATTCCAATTATAAGCAAACGTCAGAGAGGGGTTTACCTTGGCAGAGCAGCTGTTAATCTGAATTCTGATACAGCTGCTCTGTCCCAGTCACTCAGATCTGCAAAGGTGCTTGCTGATCTCCTCCCATGGGAATTAATGCTGTTAGGAGACTGTGATCATAAAAATGCAATGAAGAGCAAAGCTTTGGGTGTTTCTTTTTTGTTTCTCATGCAGAGGGACAAAGTACCCCAGAGACAGCAGGCTCTTTGATTTGCATCCTGGCAGAACTGAAATCCTACTGAATCCTACTACCTACTGAAATCCTCCACAGCAGCCCTGCCCTGGCAGAGTCTGTGCTGATGACAATGGCTTCTTCAGGTGTCACCAGGAGCCTGATTTATCCAGCAGTACCTTGGTTCTCACCAGTGGCCAGGTGGCCTAAGGAAGTAAGGTTCTAATTTTAGTCTGAGACAGAAAAACAGCTATGAAAATACCTATTTTCACTTGTCACCCAAGGGGTCTCTACAGAATCTTAATTTTCACATCAAAAGCTCCTTTTCAGAAAAGAACTGCACTGTGGAGAACCACAGCATGTTTTCCAGTCACGGAGGCTGGAGGATACTTACTTGGGGGTATGTTCACAAAACATTTAGCTACAACTTTTTGGTTTTTTTCTCCAATCCTGAGATTTTCAGAAACATTTCTCCATAATTATTTCTCTAACATTCCCTCAGTACCCTTTAACTAGGATTCTGGCTTAAGCACAGTAGATGCTACCACTGGGCAGATATTCATCTGGACAGCTACCCAAATTCCCTTGGATCCAAGCTGTTGGATAGCTCAAGCCTGGAAGCATTCTAGAGCATTCTAGAGCATTCTAGACCTCCTAGGTCTGCTGTGGAGTTCTTCTAAAACAGCAAGCAAATGTGGCTCCACACTGACCACAGCAGGGAGTAGCTTGAAAGCCAAGGTCACCTCCACCTTCTGCCTGACCCAGGACCAGTGGCAGAGCAAATAGGGAGAGCATGGATCTTACAGAAACAATGAAACAATGAACTTTCCATAAACCAGATTATTTTCAGGAACATACAAGCATTCATTCTTTATGGGTGTTAGAGCTTCATGGCAGGTCCCTGCTAAGCCCTGGGAGGATCCTCTGCTGTGTGGGGTCTGAGGATGGTTCTAGAGATCCCCTTCCAAGAAGTTCCAGTTGTCCCCATTGTGGGACAGCTTCTCCAGAACATCAGTTCCACACACAGTTGCCCACCACAACTAAGGCAGGTCAGACAGCTTTGGAGCAAAGACAGCTTTGCTTCTTTTAAACTGAATTCGGTTTCATCACCCAGCTCCAGACTTGTAGTGTCAAAATAATTTTCTCTCCTTTCCTAATTTCTTTGCTATGTTTGTGCTGTAGGACCAAGAGGACTGAGAAAAAAACAGCTGGATTTTATTTGAGCCTTTTATTCAGAGACAGTTTTTCAACACAAAACAAACAAAAAGGTCTGCTTGAGTCCTGCTCTGTGTGTTATGTACAACAACTCTCCCTCCTTCTCCCTCTGGACATTAAGTGCTTTGAGGCAAAGGCTGGTTTGTTCTCCGTGTTGGGGCAGCACGTGGCATATCTAAAACTCACAATTTAAAAAATACAAATCCCAGGCACCTGAGGCAAGCAAACTGCAATCCATGCCCACATGAGCACAGGCAACTGGCAACTCCGTAGTAAAATCAGCCAGGCTGATTGGAAACTGGCCAGATGGCAGCTACTGCAAGCTAAAAGGATTAATTATTTGGGGATCATGCCTGGAGAGCAGGCGTGATGAATGCAATATATAATTCCTTGTCACGACTGTATGTCAGCAGTGGGAAATAAGGAACAGCCTGTACCCTGGGATACAGTCACAGTCATCTTTGCTCTCTCTGAGGTGTTTTTTCTGTAAGACCCAGAAGATTAAAAAGGTCTCACTTTTTAGCCTGAAACTACTTTGCTTTCCCGCAATTACAACAATGTCCAACATCCTTATTTATTTTATCTATTTCACAACTGTAGTGTTAATTAACTATTTTAATGGGTCTGTGTAATTAACCATGTCATGACTCAAATTTCTACAAGCCTGCTCTGTTTCCCCCCCCCCCCCCCC